AAAGAAATGTTCAAAGTCACGTCACATCAAGAGTGCCACCCTTTGCCCGAATGTATAATGGCATATTTACTCATCTCCATTGGTAGGCCTGAACCAGGTGTGGAAATTATACATTTCATATGGCAGCAGCCATTCTCTCAAAACACGATGATGACCACCGTTGGCTTCATAGAAAGATGATTGAATGAGAGGATTCAAAACCAGGATTTGCATTCCCAACCTTAAGATTGTAAATCCAGCACTCCTGTCTGCAAGAGCTCCTGATGGAAACCCTCAACATTTCGTTTTCATGATGATGTGTTCTTTTTATTGGAATGCAATGATTCACCCTCCCCAGAATTTCATGAATTGTCCTCATTCGGGGGGTCCCGATTTAATGTGAGAATCGATTTTTATATGTGTTATACATCCATAATAGAGGTGTTTGGGTTAGATCGCTAAAACATAAATGTGTCGTGAAACCCCCCACCACTTCACACAGTCCAATTAGTAGGGTTTGTCACGTAAACAAAACGAGTCAATTCGTGACTAGCACAGCACACCGATGTATTGGAGAGTAAACCCACAACATTAACCATTCGAGTACGACGTTTCACCAGTAATTACATCATAATAATGATGATGCTAGTTCTAATTACGTCATCATTGTGATGATGCTAGCTGTAATTACGTCATCATAGTGATGATGCTAGATGTAATTACCGGCGAAACGTCGTACTCGAATTGTAAATGTTGTGGGTTTACTCTCCATCACACTGGTGTGCTGTACTACTATTAGTAACGAATTGGCATGTTTTGTTTACGTAACAAACGTTACTAATTGGCTGTGTTGGGTGGTGGCGGGTTTAAAACCACAAAAAACACTATTATCTATAACATTGGTTACGAAAGCCTACTACGTGTTAAACTGCGTCGCACATTCTGTAATCTTCGTGTTCTGTTGATCTAAACGACGCATGTTCATATCACTTGCATGTATGGTAACACTTTTATTCTGATGTGCACAGTTTGAGTTAAAAAAAATTCGTACAATTTTTTGACTTGCTATGTGCCTTCATTTTTTACAGATTCAAATACAGGAGTTTGAAGAAAAGGTAATACTTATTGATGCCACTATACATGGCATCAGTGACGCTTTAATGGAGATCATACATTTATGCATAGAAGCCTTGATTTTAAGAAAGCTGCCTTCAAAGAAAAAAGTTTGTATGATTAATTCTTAAGCCGATGGTTATCGCTAAATATGTGTATTTATTAGAAAGTGTCACCATTTTAATTTATTACCGTTTTGGTGTACGACACCTCTCACGTATTGTACTGCAATTAGAAAACAATTCAAAGTACTCATAATAAAGGTTTTTGGGTTAGATCGCGTAAGTATAAATGTTGTGTCGTAGCTCTCCACTACCCCGACACACCCATTAAGGTTTGTCAAGTAAATAACGCGCCAATTCTAGATTTGAAGCTTTCGTAAACTGCATACTCTTTGGGTTTTTTTCGGTAAAGTCACGCGCGTTGTTTACCCCAACCCCTATCACTATCCCTATCACTACTCCAACCCCTATCACAACCCCTATCACTACTCCAACCCCTATCACAACCCCTATCACTACTCCAACCCCTATCACATCCCCTATCACTACTCCAAACCCCTATCACAACCCCTATCACTACTCCGAACCCCTATCACAACCCCTATCACTACTCCGACCCCTATCACTACCCCTATCACTACCCCTACTCCGATTACTTCCCCAATCCATACCCCTATCACTACCTCTATCACTACCCCAATCCCTACCCCAATCCCTACTCATATCACTACCCCTATCACTACCCCTATCACTTCCCCTACCTTATCACTACCCCAACCCCTATCACTACCCCTATCACTACCCCATACACTACCCCAACCCCTATCACTACCCTTATCACTGCCCCATACACTACCCCAACCCCTATCACGACCCTTATCACTGCCCATACTCCACCCCCAACTCTCCATGAACCTCTCCCACCTATTCTCCTGTCACCAAAACTACACCACCACTTTTAATAATAACCCCACTCTTTATTTCAACCACGATCATCTTAAGTACAATTTAATAATTCTTGCAAAGCACCTTTGAACAAGGCTCTCTAGAAATCTATAGAATATTAAATATGCTTCGTGGTCGCTGGAAGAATTTCTCACCCATACCCATAAACGAGACCACGTTATCCAAATATGATAATCGTTATGCTAGCTAGTTCTGGTTCAATTACAAGACTGTGCTAATTGTATTCAAGATTCCACTGTGGACTCGTCCAAAAAGATATAGCATCTATTGTGTCATCATGTGGTTGCACTCTAGACATGGACCATTCTGCGGTGGGATCATTAGCGTTCTGAAACTGACACGCTGACTAGTCCTTTCAGTTTCATTCTCTTGTTCAGTCATTTTAATCGTCCGGGCGTATTTACGGCGTGTTTTACTTGAATTATTTATGAGGCTACGTGCACAGGTGGCAGAGACATAGCAACAAAAAAAAACAAATTTACGCCTTGGGTGAAAAGGTTAAGGCACCAAAGGCTATACATAAGTGCTGTCAGGTGGAGTGTCTAAATTTATAGCGGGCACTATTTTAAGAAATGGCCATACCTCCTAAATGTTGAGCTGCACCCAATGACAGGGATGGGTCGAGTGAAACGAGCGAGAAGCCTCAGTGTTCCAGGTCGTGACAAATCATCTGGCTCCTGTTTGCCGGACGAAGATTAATGACCCGGCAGTATTTATTTATTTATTTTGCCACGCCAGATATCACTGCGACTTTTCACCCCCCCCAGAGGCTTGCAGCAGAGGTCGTGAAGAAGAAGATGGGGGCGTGCGGGGGGGGGGGGAATGGAAAAAAATAAGACCCGATAATGCGAGAGTTGAGTGTAAAGAAACAGCCAAAGGGCTCTCTCCTCTCTCTGTTGTGCGCAAATAAATCATTGTGTATCTCGGGAAGGGAAACAGCTTCCAAATAGTTTTTTTTATTTGCAACAGCGAGGGACTGAATGCATTTATAAAAAAAAACATGAGACACCGGCACACACTATAGTTACGAAATAATAATGACTGCCAGATATTTTAAGTTTCTGATCAAAAAAGGCATTCTCTGCAAATGGAATGGCTGTGAAGGGTTTTGCGATATTTATGTTAAAATGAAGTGCTACTGCACAGGTTTCTATACATATGTAGTGACATAGAATTGGTCACTACGTGGCATAGCGCTGGCTGCTGGCAGGGATGGGGATCTGTAGAGTGTAGCAGCCCTGACTGACAGCAGGCCACGTGACAGACTCGAGAGGGATCTAGGTTAAAGGTTACGGAGGGGACGCGTCGAGAGCCCGCTCGTAGGTTCCAGAAGGGGGGCGTGGCCGGGGCGGAGCGAGGCCACGCTAACAGGATAAAAGGGGACCCCGGGCAGGGGATCGGGGCCGTCGTTGCAGTGGGATCCCCTCGTCGTCATCGCTGCTGTCGCCTTCCACTTGATAATTGCGCTGCTGGCAGTGGTTGGCTGTCTTAGTTCAGCGCCGTCAGTGTCAGACGGCTAGCGTTGTGTTGTAGGCTAGCAACCAGAGCAGAGTTGTGTTTAGGCGAGAGACAGAGCATTGTGTAACAGTGTAGGGTGTTTTGATTTAAAGCTTTCGTGACTGCAGTAATTCATATTCTTAGTTTTTTCGGTAAAGTCACGTTGAAGAGAAACAACAAAATAACAAAATATATATAAAACAATAAAAAATTCTCACGACGTTTCGACCATAACTCAAACGGTCATCATCAGGTGTGTCGGGTTTGCATAAATTTATTTTGAAAACGGCATATTTATTTATTTATATGGACTAGTCCTGGGCAAACTGCCAATCGCTGCGCGTGACGCAAACGTTATTTTTTTTATATATAAATAAATAAATATGCTGTTTTCAAAATAAATTTATGCAAACCGACACACCTGATGATGACCGTTTGAGTTATGGTCGAAACGTCGTGAGAATTTTTTATTGTTTTATATATATATTTTGTTATTTTGTTGTTTCTCTTCAACGTGACTTTACCGAAAAAACTAAGAATATAGTGTAGGGTGTGTATTGTATATAGTGTACAAAGTGTGCTCGGTGTTAAATTAAAGAATTGCCTCCAAGAGTTACGTCTCCAAGTCAATCATTACACATAGAATACTACTTGGCTGAACAAAGTCAATTTGCGTCTCATAAATGATGACGATCCTACACAAATATGATGACGATCCTACACAATAAATGATGACGATCCTACACAAATGTCACCGCAAGTAGAATTCTCCCAAAATCGATTACAAGATGGGTGGCATTTTCCTCTCCTCTGCTAAATCCGACCCAAAAGGAGGCAAAGTTAGACCATCATTAACTAAAATGTTCGCAACGTCGTGGCTACTGCAATGATGTCACTGCGACGATAACGTCCACTGCGCACGGACTTTGAAGTGAAGGAACCAATCACCGTCATCGACCCGTGCATCAGACGAACTTCAGTGAGGGCTTGTAACCCCCTCCCACCACACCCCCCCTGGCTTCCCCAATGTAAACTGAGAGAATACGCCGGTCCCATTCTAAACACCTTAGCCTCAGTGCCGGATTATCCTCGTAGCAAAAGGAGCTACACATGCTACGGGCCCCGCACTTTCAAAGGCCTCGCGCTAAACATCTTTCAAGCAATCAATTCCGGTTCAGTCATTCTGCACTTGCTCTATTACTATAGTACTATACTGCCTTAAACTTTTCTGAACGACTGGGTGTTTAAGGTTAGCGATTTGTCGTATTATCTGACTGTATAGCAAATAAAAAAAAAAACTTTACTATGCAAGTTAAAAATGTATGTGTTGTAATATGTACGGTTTTTTTTTTTTAAATGGCCCCTTCATAACATATGCTACAGGCCCCGCACTACCTTGATCCGGCACTGCTTAGCCTCGTGTCGTTTTCCCCATGGGCTCACCTGGAAGGGCGTCTGACTGTTGTAGTTGCGCACGTCCTTCTTCGCCCCGCGGAACAGGAGCACTCGAGCGCAGCTCTCCTGCAGGAGCACACCAACAGCGTCAGTCCCACCACCCCAACGATCAGCCCAACAAACACCTTGGAGGGCAGAGCAACCGCTCGGGCTCTGTGCGCGCGGTCAAGGTGACAATTCGCACGGTGGAACCTGAAAACTGCCCGCGAGGTCGTCGGTTCGATTTTCGTCTGCCCGGCAGCTGGCAAGTTGAAACTGATCTCGTCAAGGGGCATGAGCCGACGCGCGAACTCCACTCATCCTCGCAGCAGCGGCGCTTGGCTAACCATCGAACAAAGACTGGTCACTGCAACGAGCGCTTTCAGATGCGCTTCTGTGGCCGTCTGGAGCGCTCTTCCTTCCGATATTAGGAAGCCACTGGAGCTATGCACTTTTAAATCTAAATTGAAAACGAATTTCTTTAGAACTGCTTTTTGTGTTTGGTTTTGTTGTCCTTCCCCAGCACCTCCGATTAGCACGGTTGACTACGTACGGTGCGAGATAAGTTCAGCATATGTACAAAGATACACACGCAGAAGCAATGGCCCAAGTTTCTTACAAATCGCCACATCTCCTGGGGCCTCTGTCCACCCAGCGGTACAAATGGGTGCAACCACAGGCCTCCGATCGATAGGTTGTTTATGCGGTGGGGTAAAATGTGTGTGCTCTCGTTCGCTTCCAAGTCGTCTATCCATCGTCGGAGCATCGGCCCATTTCACCCTCTAGTGGGGCCCTCTGTTGGAAGCCCTTCTGCCAGCAGTGGCGTGAGCAAGCAATTTGCAGGGCTGGGCCTTTTTTTAATACCTTTGACGACGTGAGGTCACACGCAATCAAATGAAAGCAGTCGACTGTGGACACGGTGACTTTCAAGCAGCCACATTGGGCTGTGGAGTACAAGAAGGAGATAGGGATATGGATTTGCACTCATTCAGCACTTAAATACAATGTGCAACCTAGAAACACAAAGTGTTCTTCTTATCCTTGAGATAAGTAACCAATGTGTGATTTGGAACTTCGGACACTGAGCGCTAAGCTTTGTGAGTGAAACTAAAAATTAAGTCATGAATAATCTATTAGCATCACTGCAGAGTAACTTTTGGTATTTTAATATACCGTTATAGTAGTTACATCACTGGAGTGATCCGGACTGTGGTTTTAAAGCCTTTTTTCTCAATAATTCAAAGCTTTAAATTTGTCTGTGACAGCCATTAGATTTTTGAATTGTGTCTACCTTCAATAGACACCTATGCCTTGACTAAACTGGCCTTCATGAGCAATTAGTCCTTCACAGAGATCCTCAACAATTGTTTGCAGTACGTTTATAACCATGAATAACTATGAATTAAAAAAATGCAATTCATGTTTTGTACATACACAACAAGCCAAAGTCGAAATTTCTCTAAACTTAAATTACCCCCGAGGCATTGGTAACCACTGTTAGTGACTCTAAGCCCCCGCTGAAAATTCCACATTTCCATGGCAGGGCCAAAATTATCCATAAAACATTAATTGAGCCCGTGTTTGAGTTTATTTTACTTTGTTTGATTTAATAATAATAATAGGGTTTTTATAGTAATAGGTTTTACCCGTTTGACTGGCACAAAAAAACGACATCTTTATTCAAGGCATCATGTCTGCAATAACCACAACACAAGCAGTCAAAATGCAAACAAAAAGACAACTCTGATAATAATATGCATTGTCCTTGAATTTGATTGGTCCACACCCGAGACGGCTTTCTTTAGAGCCTAGTCTCCACTGGTGTTGGACCAGAAGACGCCAAAAGGCGTACAACTCAAAAACAGCACACTATCAGAGTATTGAGGGCTCGGGGTGAGCATTTACATTATGAGACCTCCTTTTCCAGTAACAAGATATAGTAATAGGTTTTACCCTTTTGACTGGCACAAAAAACTGACACCTTTATTCAAGGCATCATGTTTGCAATAACCACAACACAAGCAGTCAAAATGCAAACAAAAAGACAACTCTGATAATAATATGCATTGTCCTTGAATTTGATTGGTCCACACCCGAGACGGCTTTCTTTAGAGCCTAGTCTCCACTGGTGTTGGACCAGAAGACGCCAAAAAGCGTACAACTCAAAAACAGCACACTATCAGAGTATTGAGGGCTCGGGGTGAGCATTTACATTATGAGACCTCCTTTGCCAGTAACAAGATATAGTAATAGGTTTTACTCTTTTGACTGGCACAAAAAAACTGACACCTATATTCAAGGCATCATGTCTGCATGATGGCAACAATACTGAAACCTTTTTACAAGGATTCATGTCTGCATTAACCGCAATACCTGCAGTTAAAATGCAAACAAAAAACATACTATGATAATATATGCATTGTCCTTGAAACTGATTGGTCCACACCAAGGGACGGCTTTCTTTTGAGCCTCGACCCAATTGGTGCTCGACCAGATGAATGAGTCGACAATTGTTGCTGAACCAAATAAAGTGTGTTAATGTTTTCTTCCACTTGTGTTCTAATTGTCCTATTGGTGTCATAAGACAAACAACATTAAGAAAATAACTTTCATAGTGAGCAGTGCACCACAGCCCCTAAAGATGAAATCACGGGGCTATACTTACAGTATGGCGTGATTTTAACAAGTCTCTTTGTCCACCCTAGGAGCGCTCTTTTCATATACCCGGTAAAATGTGTGCACCATGTCAAACACCAGGTGACAAACCAGTCATGAGTGACTCAGCAGAGGCCATAAAGTTATCGCAATCACCAGAAAACCTGTTAAAATTGCAGGCTAAATTCAGGTATATTGTCATTTCAAAACAGAACTCTCATTTTGTGTCTTCCCATACCAATATATTGTATGTTTTGTCCATTAGCCTATTAGCTCTCCAGACCGATGTTATCCAGCTGCATTTGTTTAAGCAAGGACACTAGAGAGGTTTTCAACGTTTTGGGTGTAATTAACCGAAGTAGGCTTGTCAAATATTTGCTGCTGGTTTGCCAGTTATTATCAGCTACATCACTCCATCTAAACCATGGGGCCATTTGCAATTTATTAAATATTGTATGTATGCTAATTATTAGTTGTTGTGGTGCATCATGGGCCATGACAAATATAAACAGTCCTCCTTGTGCGTCTCTGCATATAAAAACAGGTAATCCTATTGGATTTCCGGAAATTTTTTTTTTTTGTAGTCGTGAATTACTTCCACTTGCATTGGTGTTTGAGAAAGCTATTTCAAACGAAAGAAACAAAGTAGTACAGCTCATTTGAAGGGCAAAGTGACCTTTATTAAACAAAAAAATATACACGTGTATGACGTAGCAAAGCGTTTTAAAACAAAGCCAGTCGCATCCAAGGTCGGCATTACAAGTTATCCTGAGATGACGAAGAGACAGACAATCGTGGGGATTAGCTCAGCGAGTTTTCGTGACACATGTGCCGGCACACTTATATAAACCTTCCAAAAAAAAAAATCGTTTGAATCAATAGTAATGTACTGTAAGCACACAATGCGCGAGAAGATCGCACCTAAGCAAATGAGCTACGGTGCCACTGGAAGACGGAGAGCCACTGCGCAGCTTCAAACCTGGTTACAGGAAACGGGGGGGGGGGGGGATTTAGGTCGTAAGTGTTTGAGGAAGAGCAGCAGGGAGATGTACGGCACGATCTCAGCCAATCGGGAAGGCGTTATTTACAAGCGAACGTTCCCCATGGATCACGGTGACTGTAGCGTATTGACAGGGGCATGGCGTGTCACTTGCACCGTGCTGTATTCGTGTAAAATATCCCACAATAATCACGCAATTCCCACGACTGTCAAGGCAAGTCCATCACAGAGGCTTTTGGGTTGGATCGCGTAAATAGAAATGTGTCGTTAACCCCACCACCACTCGACACAGCCAGTTAGTAAGGTTTGTCACGTAAACGAAACGTGCCAATTCGTTACTAGTTCAGCACATCGGTGTGTTGGAGAGTGCTGAACTAGTAAAGAATTGGCATGTCTAACCCAAAAAACCTCTATCATGGATACTATTGGTCGCGAAAGCTGTCGAGGGAAATACTTTCAGCTTATTTGATTATGCACACGAGCCTACATTGTCTACGGGATATGCATTTTATTTTTTAATCAGCTCTGACTGGAGCAACACTGGCTTATGTATCAGGCAAAAAGGTAAAGATGCCACCATGCAAATGCACAAGGGACCTCCACTAGACGGAGCACTAGAGAGAACCCCCCCCTGGAAGAGGATATTTGGCCTACTCCTCTGCACTGTCCAGATGACTTGGAAAAAGTGAGAATGCCCACACTTTACCTCACTACAGCCGACCTGCCGTCCGTTCGACTAATAGTGGTGTCACTATTTTCATACTGCTGGGTGGATATAAGTGATGAGAGATTACAGAGCAGGTGACCTCTGGGTTTATAAGTTTCAGTGTGTTGACCATCACACCATGGCAGCATCCCAGTTGTATTATAACAATAGAGTAATAATTTATTTTTGTTGACCCAGTAAAACATCACTTTTATCCAGAATCCTGCCCGGAATGCTGTTTAAAATTCTATTCAGCATCTCAGATGAACCACGAGTGTCCAGATACAAATGCACGCACGAGGAAAATAACAAATGTCTCATCGGATAAATAATAAAAACAACATATCTCATTCACGCACCTGTCCCTTCAAATACATATAGAAAAGCATATTTTATACTTCTGATCAACCAAAAGGCCTTTTGGGAATGCTCAAGTTGAGCAGCATTGGTTCAACACAAGCACCCCTTGGACAGGTTTTGACGTAGAGTGTTTCATCAGCAGTGTCAGGCTTGCTTGCAACCAATGCTAGGGAACTTGCTGAAAATACCGGCAACAACTCTCCCTTGAGGACAGGGGTCCTAGTTCGAAGGTGAATTGTACAATACAAAACGCGAAATAATCATAATCACCGTGAAGAATATCGGTAACAAAACAACAAAAAATTCCCAGAAAGACAAATCAGCAAACCTATTTGCTGCATTGCCTTCTGCAGACTACATACTAGT